TGACTGAGTACTTTGTTAGACCTGGGAACATTTGCTGAAGCTGTATTTTCTAATACAGAAGTGGTCATATTTAGAACTTTATTTGATTTTATTTATGTATTTTAATAGAGAGCTTTAATTTTGTTACTGGTTGTTACATTTCGTTTTACTACAAATGTTCTTTTTGTACCATTTAGGTATAATAAAGCTGTTCATTAACCTTTGAGAATCCTGTCTGAATACGTCTGGAGGCAAAATGTCCTCTTTATGGAAATCTAAATATGTTCACCCTAATATTTAAATACCTATTCTAAAACAATTAGTTCTGTAGTTCCCATTTTGAAGCCAACTGATGTTTGTAGGAGCTGTTTTGAACTAGACTACAGAGGGACGGAAGCAGTTTATGGATCATGTTACTTCATGTTTTTGAACTTTATTAGGGAGATTCACTGAACCTCATTTTTAGGCACAAGACACAACAATTTGGAGATAAAGGCTCTTTATCTAAATACAAATAATCCAGTACACTGTATGATTGCTTAAATAATTCTCGAAACTTCTAAAACTGCAGTGTCACAGTTTGCTATCTTTTCTGGGGCCACATCTAACAGCTGAATCCATTTCTGACCACAGTCTGCAAAACAACCGTCCCTCAATGGGTTCAAATACCTTTAATGGACACAAATACCATCTGACTGCAATTGATTCCTGATTATTTGATGTTTTTGGAAAAATTTTCCTGTGATGGACTGGCGACCTGTCCAGGGTGTACCCCGCCTCTCGCCCATTGACTGCTGGAGATAGGCACCCGCACCCCTCGCGACCCCACTTGGGACAAGCGTGTAAGAAAATGGCTGGATGGCTGGATGGAAACAATTTTCCTGAAAAGCACCTGCACAGCACTTTTAGTTAGTGTCTGTTTTTTTGTATCTTTTGGATGATCTTCCCCAACCTGATTCCTGCTGGGCATCAGATCTCAGAGGAGCAAATTTCCTTAGATTTTATGCCAGCACGGTGGATTCTTTCTGATGAGCTTTTCTCACTTTCTGAGACTTCTACCTCATCTGATGGTGCCGATAAAACCTTTCACATCATTTAAGATTTTGGATGAAACATTTCCATTTGGGTTTGGAACCCGTCATCTTTTCTTTTTTAGCTACTTTCTCCTTATCAAAGATTGTAAAAAATATCCCCCTGCTCATACATGTCATCTCTTTCATTATTATTTGTCTCATCTATTAATGTTGTTGCTAAATCTGCTTAATTTCAAAGTCAGACAAATGACTTGGATGCTCTTTCTGTTAGTCAGGGCCATCTTCTCCTGATTCCTGCTGGGTTTTCAAATCTTGAGGGATGAAATGTCCTGTTTTTCCTAGCACAATTTGTGACAAAAGTTTTACTGAAAAACATAATTAGACTATCAGAACTCACACAGGTGAGAAGCACGCCAGTAACAGGAAGCTTTTCTGTTGAGTTTTTGTCTCAGACTTCAGGTGCATTTGATGAAGATGATGCTGAAACCTTTGCACAACATTTACCTCAAAAGAGGTTTTATAGAAAAGTGTTCGCCTTCAGCAAGTGTGAAAATCAACCTGCAGATTTAAGGGCAGGATATTCTTCCCCTGTAATTCATCTATCAGTCCAAAATATAACCTTTTTTGACCATTTAATGATTCACCATCTAGTTAATTCGCTAATTTCATGTATTTTATAACTAAATTAAATAACCACTAACAACTTCTTATTTGTGATTATGTGTTTTATTGCAAATACTGCAGTAAGTTTACTTTAATGTGTACCAGCCTCCAAACAGAAGCTCCAGCTACTAAATGTAACCTACCTGCTTTCTTTGAGCCAATTTTCATCACAGCTGCATCTTTCTCCTTCCCCCTCTCTCGTTTCCCATTTTCAGCTCATGAGACCTTCACTCTGTGTGAGTCCATCTTTAGCGCTTCTGCTCCTCCATGTAAACACTCGCTCCAGCTCAAAACAGCTCGAGGGAATGAAGCATCTGGAGGCAGTGAGAGGATGGAGGAAAGAGGTGTGTATGTAGTGGTTGGGGACGCTAATCTGCAACGTGCCTCTGCTATTGACTGCTATCATTTACACATGCACAAAAATACATACTTGTTTTATTTTTTCTTCTTTTAACTCATTATGCCCCTAGTGTTCAGTTTCTATGTTCTGTTCATCCTGTGGGTGTTCTCTGATAAATATTCTCTAGCATCACAGTGGGTTTTCACTTTGTGTTGCAGTCATCTCTTAGTTTTCATTGAACATGTATAC